CAGTGACCTCACCTTGTTCTATTGTGAAGACCTCCTGGATGTTAAGGACTATCTTACAGGTAAGCTACCACTTACTATCTTACAGGTAACACTAGAGACTATCCACAGTCTCTGTGCCTAAAGCCTACAAATTCCACTGATGTCTTTAACAGTCGGTTTCTGTCCTTGTTGTACCTGCCCAACCTGAAAACCTACTCAAAGGTTTGTTCAGCACCTTCCATCTGTAACCCCTTCAGCACCTTCCATCTGTAACCCCTTCAGTATCCCATATACTGCCTCTCTGTCCTTGCTATTCCATTCCTGCCTATTGGATCCTTCCTGTTCTTTGATGCCTACAACTACCACTGATCTTTTTCTTTTGTGTGTATGTGTGTGTGTGTGTGTGTGTGTGTGTGTGTGTATACTCACCTATTTGTACTCACCTATTTGTGCTTGCGGGGGTTGAGCTTTGGCTCTTTGGTCCCGCCTCTAAACCGTCAATCAACTGGTGTACAGATTTCTGAGCCTACTGTGCCCCTTTCGGTATGCTAACCTTTTGGTTTCGGTATCCCTCCTCGAGTTCAATAACCCTTCATCAATCAGGTACTCAAACACCAATACACTGTGGTCGCTCATTCCTACTGGGGCCTCAAAACCGATTTCTCTTATGTCAGAGTTGTTCAAGGTGAAGACCAGGTCGAGTCTCGCTGGTTCGTCATTTCCTCTCATCCTTGTGGGTTCTCTGACATGCTGGGTTAAGAAGTGTCTAGTCACCACCTCCAGTAGTTTGGCTCTCCATGTATCCTCACCTCCATGCGGTTCCTGGTTCTCCCAATCAATCCTTCCGTGATTGAAGTCCCCCATGATGAGCAGGTGGGATCTGTTTCTACAGGCAGCAGAGGCTACCCTCTCAATTATAGTGTTAACTGCCATGTTGTTGTTTTCGTACTCTTGACTGGGTCTTCTGTCATTTGGTGGAGGGTTATATATTACTGCTACTACTATCCTTGGTCCTCCCATTGTCATGGTGCCTGCTATGTAGTCTCTGAAACCCTCACAGCCCGGGATTGCCATCTCCTTAAAATTCCATTCCTTTCTCATGAGTCCGCCTCTACTTTCTACTCCGCCTCCTCCCCTACCTTCCCTCTCTTTCCTTAATACTGTGTACTCCTGGGGAAACACGGCATTCGTTATGATTCCAGAGAGTTTTGTTTCAGTGAGTCCGATTACATCTGGGTTCACTTCTTGTGCTCTTTCCCTTAGTTCACTTGCCTTGCTTGTGATCCAATCTATGTTCGAGTACATTGCCCTGAAACTGACTCTCTTCTGCTTCTCCTCTGGGGGGGGGGGACCTGTGGGGTCTGAGTTGAGCGGGAGCTGGGAGGATCTGGTACGGGGAGACTGGTGGAGGAGGATTTGGGGGAGAGGGGGAAGCTTGGGGGGGGTGGGGGGGAGGGGGAGGGTAGGGGAAGGGTAGGGGGAGTGGGTGAGAGGGGGAGGGTTGGGGAGGTGAAAGAGGTAGGGTTGAGGGGGGTGAGAGGAGGAGGTTTGTGGGGATGTGGGAGAAGGGGGGGGGGGGAGTTTGCGGGCAGTAAAAAGGGGAGGGCTTGGGGGGCGTGGGGGAAAGGGAAGGCTGAGGTGGGTGAGGAAGAGGGGAGGGTTTTGGGGAGTGGTGGAGAGTGGGGGGCTTAGGGGGGCGGGGGAGAACGGAGGGCTTGTGTGTGTGTGTGTGTGTGTGTGTGTGTGTGTGTGTGTGTGTGTGTGTGTGTGTGTGTGTGTGTGTGTGTGTGTGTGTGTGTACTCACCTAGGTGTACTCACCTAGTTGTGATTGCACGGGTTGAGCTTTGTCTTTTTGGTCCCACCTCTAAACCGTCAATCAACTGGTGTACAGATTTCTGAGCCTACTGGGCTCTATCATACCTACATTTCAAACTGTGTATGGGGTCAACCTCCACCACATCACTTTCTAGTGCATTCCATTTGTTAACTATTCTGACACTAAAAAATTCTTTCTAATGTTTCTATGGCTGATCTGGGTACTAAGGTTCCACCTGTGCCCCCTTGATCGTGTTCCACCCGTACTGAAGAGTTTGTCATTGTCCACCTTGTCAACTCCCCTGAGAATTTTGTAGGTCGTTATCATGTCTCCACTTACTATTCTGTTTTCCAGGGACGTGAGGTTCAAGTCCTTTAACCTTTCTTCGTAACTCATACCTCTCAGTTCCAGGACGAGTCTCTTGGCATACCGGTGAATCTTCTCTAATTTTGTCTTGTGTTTAACTAGGTATGGACTCCAGGCTGGAGCTGCATGTTCCAGGTTTGGTCTCATATAAGTAGTATACAGGGTCCTGATTCCTTATACAAGTTTCTAAAGGCAGTTCTTAAGTTGACCAACCAAGCATATGCCGCTGATGATATCCTTTTGATGTGGGCCTCTGGGGACAGGTTCGGTTCGATATCAACCCCCAGATCTTTCTCTCTATTTGACTCTTGCAGGATTTCATCTCCCAGATAGTACCTTGTGTTCAGCCTTCTGCTCCCTTTACCTATTTTCATTACTTTACACTTTCCTGAGTTGAACTTTAGTAGCCATTTTCTAGAGCATTCCTTTAGCCGGTCCAGGTCGTCCTGTAGTCTCTGTCTAACTTCATCTGTATTGATTCTTCTCAGATGTTTTGCATTATCAGCAAACATCGAGAGGAATGAGTCTATACCCTCTGGAAGATCGTTTACATATATTAGAAACAGAATGGGTCCACGTACAGAGCCCAGTGGGACTCCGCTGGTGACATCTCGGCACTCTGATGTCTCCCCCTCACAGTTACTCGCTCTTTCCGGTTGCTTAGATACTCCCTTATCCATTGGAGCATCTTACCTTTTACTCTTGCCTGTTGCTCCAACTTTTGTAATAGCCACTTACAGGGTACTGTGGCGAAGGCTTTCTGACACTCCAAGAAAATGCAGTCTTCTCACTCTTCTCTTTCTTGCCTAATTTTTGTTGCTTGGTCAAAGAATTCTATGAAACTTGTGATGCACGATTTACCGTCTCTGAACCCACGGTGATTGTGTGTTACAAATCTATTTCCCTCGAGATACTCTACGAGGCTTTTCCTCACGATCGTCTCCATCACATTGTATGGAATACTAGTTAGGGAAACTGGCTTGTAATTCAGTGCCTCCTGCCTGTTACCCTTTTTGTATATTGGGATTACATTAGCTGTGTTCCAGCCTTCTGGTAGGTCACCTGTTTCCAGTGACCTGTTATTCACCATAGAGAGTGGCACACGTAGTGCTTCTGCACCTTCCTATAGATCCACGGTGAGATTCTCACAGTCCCACCAGCCCTTGTTACATTCAGCTCCAACAAATTTCTTTTGACCTCATCACTGGTGAGGTCAAATTCTTCCAAGGTTGCTTGATTTGCCTCCTCCTCATTTAGTGCAGGGGCTTCTCCTTGTTCTTTTGTGAAGACCTCCTGGAATCTCTTGTTGAGTTCTTCACACACCTCCTTGTCATTCTCTGTGTATCTGTTCTCCCCTTTTCTCACTTTCATCACTTGTTCCTTCACTGATATTTTCCTCCTGATGTGGCTGTGAAGCAATTTTGGTTGGGTCTTAGCTTTACTCGCGATGTCATTTTCATACTGTCTCACTGCTTCTCTCCTCACTCTGAGTTACTCATTTTTTGCCCTCTGGTATCTCTCCCTGCTCTCTGGTGTTCTGTTATTCATGTATTTTCTCCATGTTCTGTTATTCAACTGCTTCGCTTACTTACATTCCTGGTTGAAGCATGGATTTTTCTGTTGTTTTTCGTTTTTCTCCATTTGGACCGTGATAAACCTGTCTGCAGCTTCCTGGCACTTCTAGGAGACATAATCTATCATATCCTGTACAGTCCTCTCTCTGAGTTGTTACCTATGGTATTCCCATGAGAAAGTTCTTCATCTCGTCATATTTTCCTCTTCGGCAATTTAGTCTTTTCCCTTCCGATCCCAACCTTGGAGGTTATCCTTACCTCCACCAAGTGCATAAATGTCAATAAAATGTGGTCACTCATTCCTATGCGGGCTTCAACTTTGACATCCCTTATTTCTGATTCATTCAGGGTGAATATCAGGTCGAGTCTAGATGGTTCATCATTACTTCTCACTCTTGTGGGTTCTTTGACATGTTGGATCAGAAAGTTCCTTGTTGCCACTTCAAAGAGTTTAGATCTCCATGTATCTGAACCGCCTTGGGGATCCCCCATTCTCCCAGTCTATCTTTCCATGGTTGAAATCGCCCATTATTAGGAGTCTGGAGCCATTCCTGGAAGCAACTGAAGCTTCTCTCTCTATAATATTATCGGTTGCCATGTTGTTCCTATCAAGCTCCTGTTTGGGTCTTTTGTCATTTAGGGAAGGGTTGTTAAATGACTGAAACTATTATCTTAGGTCCACCCATTGTTATAGTTCCTGTTATACAATCACTGAACCCTTCACAGCCCGGAATTTCCATCTCATCAAAACTCCAGTCCTTCCTTATCAGCAGGGCCACTCCTCCACCTCCTCTCCCTTCCCTCTCTTTCCTTACTATATAGTAGTCCTTTGGAAATACAGCATCTGTGTGTGTGTAAGAGAGAGAGAGAGAGATAGAGACCGCTGTGCGGATCTTAAGTGGATATTCGTATGAGAAATAATTGTTTATGTTAATTAATAATTTCCATATAATCATCATTAGTAGCGAAAGAAAAACGAACATTCATCAATCTTTTGACATTTAAACTAACAAAAATTTCCCGTAGCATACAAACAAAATACTTATTTTGCACTATCCAGATGTTTTATATATTGTCAGACAAATAACTACGTGTTATGCTCAGCTGTTGATGGATTGACTTCCTACAAAATATGAAATTCTTGATTAGAATGAGAGTTGAAAAAAATTGTTGTGTAAAACAGCAATGGTCCTATTATTTCTTTAATAAATATGTTCCCAATGTTTTATATGAAATGATAATGTGTAATGTTGTCTATCCTCAGGTCTGCGGCCTCTGGGCACCTCTCTCAGCTCCTCGTGTTCCAGTTTCCGCAGCGAAGTGCCCATGGGAGGAGTAACTAACATGGGCGTCGTGGGAGGCGCCTCGGGCATGCTGGGAGCCTCGGGGCTGGTCAGCACGCCCTCCACCTCCTCCTCCCACCTTCTTCAAGTGTCTCTGCTTCCCGAGACTGTCGGGAAGGACCGCGGGCCAACGCCATCGCCTCGGGAATATGAGGGTGTGAGTGTGTTGTGAGGCCGGCCTTAACTACAAGAGCCAGTGGTGTCTGAGGCAGGCCTTAACCACAGGAACCAATGGAGCCTAAGGCCGGCCTTAACCACAAGAACCAGTGGTTTCTGAGGCCGGCCTTAACCACAGGAACCAATGGTGCCTAAGGCCGGCCTTAACCACAGGAACCAATGGTGCCTAAGGCCGGCCTTAACCACAAGAACCAGTGGTTTCTGAGGGCGGCCTTAACCACAGGAACCAATGGTGTCTGAGGCCGGCTTTAACCACAGGAACCAGTGGAGTCTGAGGCTGGCCTTAACCATGGGAACCAGTGGTGTCTGAGGCCGGCCTTAACCACAGGAACCAGTGGTGTCCGTGGCCAGCCTTAACCACAGAAACCAGCGGTGTCCGGGGCCGGCCTTAACCACAGGAACCAGTAGTGTCTGAGGCCGGCCTTAACCACAGGAACCAGTGGTGTCCGTGGCCAGCCTTAATCACAGGAACCAGTGGTGTCCGAGGCCGGCCTTAACCACAGGAACCAGTGGTGTCTGAGGCTGGCCTTAACCACAGGAACCAGTGGATTTCGTGGCCAGCCTTAATCACAGGAACCAATGGTGTCTGAGGCTGGCCTTAACCACAGGAACCAGTGGTGTTCTAGGCCGGCCTTAACCACGGGAACCAGTGGTGTCTGAGGGTGGCCTTAAACAATGGAACCAGTGGTGTCTGAGGGCGACTGTAAAATGGAAGCGGCTGGCGAAAGTGACGTATTGACTTGTTTTCTGTGTTGGGTCCTCTGGTAGGTTAGAAGAAGAGACTTTACATTGACCGTTTTCTGGACGTTGGGAAACCATAGGAGGACGGGCTGGTCTGAGAGCGGCCGTGGTCACGGGAACTAGAGATGTCTGAAAGATTCCCAGCATAAGTGTAAATCACCGCAGTGAACGGCACCGCAGTGTACAGTGAAGTAGTTTCAGAGCAACAGTGTTCATTGCAAACAGTGCACAGTGGAAACAGTGCACAGTGCAGCAATGTACAGTGTAGCAATTGAAAAACAGTGTACAGTGCATTAGTACACATTGACGGATGTTTACCAAATTAGAAAATTCAATCCTGAAATATATTGATTTATTCAGTGGCATTTATGACGGAGTGTTGATCACAAGGACTTCAAACTTAGAAGTCGTCTGAATCACAGTTGTCGGCAGCTGTTAATGCCAGGAAATCGCTGAAATAAAGTAAAGAACTACAAAAGCATCTGTAAAGCACAGAAAAGTTTTAACTAGTTCATCTCAGTGTTTTCTGAATCTTTGTTCCTCAAAGGCGCTAAACAGTGGCATGACCTTAGAGGTGCTGCAAGAGAATGTGTTGAGCCAAAGTAACCAATAGCTAAAGAACTGGGTAGCCATCGAGGACCACTAAGTGCCCCAGAGACGCCTCATTCAAGAGACCGTCAACTGCAGAAGAACCGGATGGTCAGCACGGAGGAGCCGGATGGATAACACAGACCGGAGACTGTTAAACTTGAGGCGATCGTGATGGCCGGATAGCGGTAGTCAACCGTTACTTAAGACTCACTTTACTTCAAGGAATTAGAATCTCCTTAAGTCTGTCACTTATCTACAAGGTGTCTGTCATTTATCTAATATTGTGAGTTACAAACCGATTGCGAATTTAAACAAATATATTAAAACAGCATCAAGGGGCTGTGAAATCTCTGACAGGATTAGCATGAGTGTTATAGAGCCTCGTTGGTGCTATGAGTGCTCTATCCCAGTTTTCTATGTTGCAATGGAACAGTCGCCCCTAAACATAATTTTCAGTTGAATATATATATATATATATATATATATATATATATATATATATATATATATATATAATATACAAGCCTGAATGGTCCCCAGGACTATATGCAACTGAAAACTCACACCCTAGAAGTGACTCGAACCCATGCTGCCAGGAGCAAGGCAATTGGTATGTACAGGACGCCTTAATGCGCTTGACCATCACGATCGGACAAGGAAGTGATAGCCGAAGCTATTACCAAGATTACCATCCGAGTGCCGGCGGGGAAGTGGTTCAAATTCCCCACCCCACCATCCCCTCTTTCTTACCACCATGCCCCACTTCCTTGTCCCTTTGTTCTCCCCCACCATTCTCCATTCCCCCATCCCCTCGTCTCCACCATCCCATACTCCCCCCCCCCCGTCCCCTTGTCCTTCCCCATCCTTATCCCCACCCTTGTCCGTTCGTCCTCCCCACCATCTCTCACTTCCGTCCCCTCGTCATCCCCACCATTCCCCACTCCCTCGTCCGATGCCTTCCCAAATGGTCTGATGTTCTCATCAGAAAATTAGGATCATCAAGTGATCTGATGTTCCCATCACTTAAATAAAAAAAAACAGTTAAACAATGAAATGAAAATATAAAAAAATAAGAAAAATAAGCAATACTCACAAAGTGAACGGTATGGTAAGCAACACAGCTCAATTCCAACACAATTCACACAAAATAATTAAATCAAAATGAAAATAAATCCAAATCTATGAAAATCCAATTTATCAATGTAATCAGAAACGCTGAAAAGGAATTGAAACATATTTAGTATAGCATGTGTATTGCTATACACATGCTCCTACATACAACAGGTGGCGCTGTTTTTCCAGAAAAACATAGTTTTACCTGTCACAGGTGTGGCATCTATACTTATACTTACAAATTGAATAGTATGGTAAACAACGCAGCTCAATTCCAACACAATATCACACATAATAATTCAATAAAAAATAAAATATTTTGAAATCTATGAAAATAAAATATATCAATGCAATCGGAAACATTGAAATTGAATTCGTGACATATTAATTATATCGTGCATTTTGCTATTATATGCAACAGATGGCGCTGTTTTTAAAAAAACGCCTGTTTTTACCTGTCACAAGGGTGGCATCGATATAGAAGGTATATGAAAAGACGCGCCTATTCGAATGCAACGTTCTATCAAAATTTCAAAGCAATCAATGAAGAACTTTTTTAAGATTACAGCATGTGTTGCCCTTACGTCCAACTGATGGCGCTGTTTAAAAAAAAAAAAACATGTTTTTTCCTGTCACAGGTGAGGCATGTATATAGTAGATATATAAAAACACGAGCCTATTCGAATGCAACGTTGTGTCAAAATTTCAAAACAATCGGTAAAGAGGTTTCAAAGATTTCCTTCACATGGAAAAACACATGAAAAACAGTTTGTTTTTTTTTTAAAAGGATGTTTTTTTATCCGTCACAGACGTGACTTTTATATAGTATGTATATAAAAACCTGGCTGGATGCGAATGGAACGTTGTGTGAAAATTTCAAAGCAATCGGTGAAGAACTTTCGGAGATTAACGATTTTGAACAAACGAACATTTTCATTTTTATTTATCTAGATATATATATACATAACGTTCTGTTCATTGAAGATATGTTAAGACATTATCATGTGTGCAGAGGGAGGTGTTCTAAGAGCCTCACTCACTGTTGTGAGTGAGTATGAGTCCGTGTATCATTATGAGTGCTTTGGGGCACTTTGTTTTATTGACAAAAATATGCAGTTGATGTTTTTTTTCCAGAGTATGATAAACCTAATGAAAAATTTTGTTCAAAAGATCGTATTGTTTTTGGAAAAAGCATTGTGTTCCTCAGGAATTGACGAGGCCAACTTTCTTGGTGAAATTGGTTGTGGAATTTTTAAATCACACGTAGATTTCAGCCTCTTCACTGGACTGGAGACATTACGTTCTCGGAAAAGTCGCTCATCACCATCTCGAGGAGTCTTGCCCACCATTAATAAAAACACTAATAATCTCAAACCAAATGAGAACTTCTGCTGCGAGATGTTAATTAGAACTTATATGTGAAATATTTTTTAGTTTTATATATTCTTTACTGTATAAATATTGGGATCATAATTTCGCTTGAAAATACTTTGGATGTGACAATTCAAGATGTCATCCAATTCGGTAAAATTATCGGTCATTGAAACATGATTCTAAGATGCTAAACAATATGATGAGAGGAGGATAATTACAATAATAATTTTTATTATAATAATAGTATCCAGTACAGTATTTCGATACTCTGTCATGAAAAGCATTTTGCGGATCTTTCGCTGCTGAGGAAGTAGTTCCCAGCTCACCAGGAGAGCGTCAGGCAATATTAAACTTACCTGAATATTACATATTAAAGTTGACAGCATTTCCAGGGTCTTTGTATATAGGCGTTATTGAGCAATGACGCTTAGGAGATTACACATGAACTGGTGCAATTTACAATATATGACGGGATGACCATTCTGCAAAACTGATGTTGCCTGTTGATCATATTGGGATGTAATGACGCTACTTTTGCGTATACAAATACTCAGAATTTAATGCAAATTTACAAGCAATCTTAATGTCTCAAAACTAAGACTAACATCACTAGTCTAGTACGTTACAAAAAAGTTTCCGGAATTAAAATGCATAGACACAGGCATGTCTATGCATGGGACCACTAGCTAACTCAGAACCCACTCTACAGCACTCCTGCAGGAGGCTGCACAGGACCTGCGACTAAACGAAGCTCACTAACAAGGGCTTCTTCCATAAATATAATCACCCAAATTCATTCATCCTCCATAAGAGCACGACCCAGCCCACTGTTTATAGGTAATAAGTCCTGCGACTAGTTCAACTCATGTTTTATTTAAAGTAGTAACACTTTCTGTGGAGTTATGAGTAACTGAAGATTTTGTAGTATTGAGTAAAAAAGAGAGTTCCATTAAATAGATTCATTCATGTATTTATAAAAATCCAAACACGCACACACACACACACACACACACACACACACACACACACACACACACACACACACACAAGGCTTAAGAAATGTAAAAAAGGTTTTGTCTGTTTGTACAAATATAAAATATATTTAATGTTTCAGTAACATGTCTACCAAAAGGATTCTTTCATATATATATATATATATATATATATATATATATATATATATATATATATATATATATATATATATATATATATATATATATATGTCGTACCTAGTAGCCAGAACTCACTTCTCAGCCTACTATTCAAGGCCCGATTTGCCTAATAAGCCAAGTTTTCCTGAATTAATATATTTACTATATTTTTTCTTGTGAAATGATAAAGCTACCCTTTTCACTATGTATGAGGTCAATTTTTTTTTATTGGAGTTAAAATTAACGTAGATATATGACCGAACCTAACCAACCCTACCTAACCTAACCTAACCTATATATATAGGTAAGGTTAGGTTAGGTAGCCAAAAAAAGCTAGGTTAGGTTAGGTTAGGTAGGTTAGGTAGACGAAAAAACATTAATTCATGAAAACTTGGCTTATTAGGCAAATCGGGCCTTGCATAGTAGGCTGAGAAGTGAGTTCTGGCTACTAGGTACGACATATATATATATATATATATATATATATATATATATA